GAAGGGAGGCAGAGTGAGGAGAAGGGAAATGGAGAGGTAGCGAAAGAGGAAGAAAGGGAGGAAGAGAAAGCAGTCTATCATTAGAACAAGAACAAGAAATTTTGGCACCTGTTCCATCACCACCCTCTTCCTTGATACTTTTGGTACCTTACTTGCCATTTTGGAATGGAAGACTTTTCCACCACCAGGCTCACTCATTTTCAGCCTCTTGTAAATAAGCTCTTTGTTTAAAATGACATACCTGTCATATTAATATTGCAACTAATTTTGTTCCCATTGCTATGCTATCTAAATAAGATGCAAGAAATGACTAGACTTAAGCTCCAGCTCTGAGAGAGAACTTTATAGTAGCTTTAAGGTGGTGTGAGTGATAAAGGAAGTTGAGTATTAATTATAACACTTGTCATTTAAAAAAAAAAAAAAGCTTGGTGGTGTATGTAATTTTACCCCATTTTCTCATTTGCCACTGTTATTTAAATCACTTCCCAGCACTAAGCATGTGCATAAAAGGTGATTGTTCCCAATTTAACCTTTTAAATAAAATGTATTCTATTAATTAAGTCATTACAGTTCCCTCCATTTTCTATTATGTTTATTCATTTATCTTCTATCCTAAAGATAGACATCTGTGTCAGTGAATATTTGGAAAAAGACCCCTAATTTTTATGCCTATCACCCATTTGGATGTTCTACACTGTTTTTTGAAATAGTTTGTTAGTGTTCTAAAGAATTTCAAATTGTCAATTAAAATAATAAGTATTCCTACTAAAAATAGTAGATAATATTCAGCCAAAAATTTATCATGTTCAGCCTAACGTGCCTGGGGAACCTGCAGTACTTATATTGGCTTAGATTTAATGGTATAACTTATGGCTGTTAAAAAAAGATAAAAGCAAAAAATAAGATCCTATCCTTGTGTGAATTCCTTTTTAAGAATAACTACACAAAATGAGACTGTATATATGGTTTGAATACCACATGTCTTTTGCCTTTCTTCTACTACAAAATAAACTCAGAGCCAGGTAAACTGAAAGGTAAAATCTGTGTGAGTGTTGGATTATCCATTAGATAGCAACTGAAAATATCCTGTGCACTGTCTTTTCCTTTATAATCCTAGGCAGGTTAAGTCATAAACACTACCAACATCATCAAATTCACCACCCTTCCCACTCTCATAGTTTCCATTTATCGAAAGTTTTCATTTATTGAGAAATACATACCTGGAACTGTGCTAAGTGATTTGTAAATGTTTTTCACTCAGTTTTCACAACTCTTTGTATAATGTTTTATATTATTTTTCAGGTTTAGAGGAGTTTAGAGGAACTTACTAACTTGCCTGGTAAATCTGGAATTTAAGTCACATTTGTCCCATCATAAGCTATTATGGTATTACATAACATTATGTAAATTTTTCTATTTAGTTTATCATTACTAATGATTTAATAACCAATATTTATTAAGCAGTTACTATGGGCTGCCCTCGTGGCTCAGATAGTAAAGAATCTCCCTGCAATGCGGGAGACCTGGATTCCATCCCTGAGTTGGGAAGATCCCCTGGAGGAGGGCATGGCCACCCTCTCCATTATTCTTGCCGGAAGAATCCCCATGGACAGAAGAGCGTGGCAGACTACAGTCCATGGGGTCGCACAGAGTCAGACATGACTGAGAGTGAGCGACTAAGCGCATGTGATCCTCTACGTATTTCACATAAACTTGTACATGTATAATGGTCACTCTAAGCATACCTGGAAAGCAGTATCATCCTCATTTTATAGATGACGAGATTGAGGTACAGATAGGTAAAATACATTTACCTAGGAAGCTCTGGTTTTACATTTATTAATAAATTTAATAAATATATTAAAATAACAAGCCAAGATTTTTATCTCAGATGATTTCTCATCTGTGTAATGGAAATGAATTATTTTAGCTTGAATCCATTAAAACGGTAGAATTCTGAACATGTTAAGCAAAATTATAGCTAACACTGTTAATACTGATCACAATAGAAAGTTTGTATTCATAAGATGTATTCTAATTAAAAAGGTAATAGTATTCTAACATAAGAGTGTTTGTCAGGGCTTTTCTTACATTTAATTCATATTGTCAATAATTTGAAAAATATTATAACCCTCCTATGATTCATCAGAAGTATAGTAGAGTGATAAAAGTGCTTTGTTTAAGCCTTGGCTCCTCCACTTATGAGGTATGCCCGTCTCTTTATCTGTAAAGACAATAACAACCATCGTCACAGGTTACTGTGAGCCTTAAATGAATTAATAGATATGAAAGGTAGAGGGTAGAACTTGTATATCATAAGTGCTAAGTATTAGCTACTAGTAGTATTTTTTTTTAGTCATCATCCTTGCTTTCCACTGTTTTTTCCATTTATACAATAGATTCCACTGTAAGTTCTTTCAGAACTGGGCAAGACAGAATTTGACCCACAGTTGGAGCCTGATACATCGGGATTGGCATCTTCTACTGGAAACACAAAGTCGAACATGATTTTTAAGCAAGTTAATACCAGGGTAGTCACAATCATGTAATGTTTTTATCTAGAAAATAGAGAAATGCTTAGGAAAAGAGGACTAGGTGGGTGTGGGAAGATTCATGAAAATTTTTGTATAGTGACTGGATCAGTGAAATAGAGTGGATGTTATAGGTAAGCAAAGGAGAGGCCTGTTACTCTGAGACCAATAGAATGTTTGGGGAAATGAAGGCGATCTATCTGTTAGCAAATTCCCCCTTGAGCCACCAAAGTTTCACAGACTAATGTAGACTATGACACGTGGTGAAGATTGAATGGCTGTTGTTGAATATTGAGGTGATAATCCATGCAGAGTTGCCTAAGGATTAAGAATACTTTGATTTTATGCTCATGAGAGATACTGGTTAGTAACTTTCATCAACTTCCTTTGCTTGATATTAATATCAGGGTAATGCCAGCTTCACAACGAGTTAGGAAATGTTCCCTCCTCTGAATTTTCTGAAAGAATTTCTGTAGAATTGGTAGTATTTCTTCCTAAATTTTTGGTTGAATTCATCAAGGTAGTCATCTGGGTCTAGAGGTTTCTTTCTCATAAAGTTTTAACTACAAATCCATTAAGAAAACAACAACAACAAGCTATGGAGCTATTAGGTTATCTCTTCCTATATAAGCTTTGGTAATTTGTGTCTTTCAGAATCATATCCATTTCATGAGAGCTGTGTTCACTTACATTTTTCCTCACTGCTGAAGCAATATCCTTCTTCCTATTCTAATAAATGCCCCTAAATTATGAAGTTTTTCACTCTGGGTATTGGGAAGGGGAACTTTATTCCCAGCCTTATGAGAACTGCAGGCACTGTGTTCTTTCCCCTTTGGGGTAGTTCTCACCCAGGTGTTGGGTAAGTTTCCTCACATCATGTGATCATTAGCATTTAATTAAATACCTGCAGGGATCTTCTGCAGATCTCAGAAAGAATTCTGTAAACCTCTCTTCTCTCTAATTCTCTGACCTAAACTCTGTCTGCCCTGGTTTTCCCTGGATTTCCAGCTTCACATCCTCAGACTGGTATATTCCAGGGCTCTGCCTATGTTCCCCTTCTTACACCACAACCTGAAGACTTTCTCCAGACAGTAAACTGGAGCAATTGTAGGAATCACCCTACTTGTTTTCCGTTTCTAGAGAGTCACTGTCCTCTGCCTGATGAAGATCTTATCTTTTGAATGCCATTGTTTCATGTTGTATTTATTTTTAAATACAATTTTTCAGAAGGAATTGTAAACTTGCTTCCTTTTGCTCCGTTTTGACCAGATACAGAAATTCGATCCTTGGGGATTGAACGTATATATTGCTGTTATGCTCAAAGAGTCTTATTATATATTATACAGCTCCAGATCCTTGAGTTTAATTTCTGTTTTTGTGGCTACAGAAACAAGAGTCCAGTTAAAATAAGTGAAAATATTAAAGCAATTCAAAAGAATGAAATTCTATTCACAGAAGATTTAATGAACATATATTTCTTCATAACTGTCTTTAAAATACCTACCAATAGAAATGAGATGCCCCAGGCAGGCTGGGGAAACTTTTTTCTCAAATCTATGAAGTTTTTCACTCTGGGTATTGGGAAGGGGAACTTTATTCCCAGCCTTATGAGAACTGCAGGCACTGTGTTCTTTCCCCTTTGGGGTAGTTCTCACCCAGGTGTTGGGTAAGTTTCCTCACATCATGTGATCATTAGCATTTAATTAAATACCTGCAGGGATCCTCTGCAGATCTCAGAAAGAATTCTGTAAACCTCCCTTCTCTCTAATTCTCTGACCTAAACTCTGTCTGCCCTGGTTTTCCCTGGATTTCCAGCTTCACATCCTCAGACTGGTATATTCCAGGGCTCTGCCTATGTTCCCCTTCTTACACCACAACCTGAAGACTTTCTCCAGACAGTAAACTGGAGCAATTGTAGGAATCACCCTACTTGTTTTCCGTCCCTAGAGAGTCACTGTCCTCTGCCTGATGAAGATCTTATCTTTTGAATGCCATTGTTTCATGTTATATTTACTTTTAAATACAATTTTTCAGAAGGAATTGTAAACTTGCTTCCTTTTGCTCCATTTTGACCAGATACAGAAATTCGATCCTTGGGGATTGAACGTATATATTGCTGTTATGCTCAAAGAGTCTTATTATATATTATACAGCTCCAGATCCTTGAGTTTAATTTCTGTTTTTGTGGCTACAGAAACAATAGTCCAGTTAAAATAAGTGAAAATATTAAAACAATTCAAAAGAATGAAATTCTATTCACAGAAGATTTAATGAACATATATTTCTTCATAACTGTCTTTAAAATACCTACCAATAGAAATGAGATGCCCCAGGCATGCTGGGGAAACTTTTTTCTCAAATCTTTGCCAGTAAAAGATTTCACTTATTACGAATCTATATTAATTTATTGTTCAAAAACTGGCTGATTTACAAGCTGGTCTGATCCTCATCCCTTTTATTTCTTTGCAGTGCCAGATGAAAGTAAAGTCCATTCATTGGCTGGACACAAATCGGGTAAGAAATTCCTTGTCACTGACTTTATATTCTCCTTCCTGGAAATCTCTGGCTGTGTTTGAGTAGTGGTTGGAACCTGTTTCCATCCACTTGTCACTGAAAGGCTTGCTCATTAATACATGAGATGTCTCTGACTTCCACAAAGATGAATTATTGCTTGGCCGTCTCAATAGTAGCATAATGTATGCTGACTCAAATGTTTAAGAAGGAAGAAAGGTTTCCAAAAAATAATTATAAAACCAAAAATCTTTAACCTGTACACCAGCTGAATACTTGCAGTCACAAAAAATTACGAAGAAAACCCAAGAAAGTTTGAATTTTTTTTTCTGCAATGACTATCACATTAAAGTAGCAGGACAAAGACGTTCCAGAATAAGGAAAATGTGGCCATTTCTTCCTTCTCAAAAAGGAATCATCCTTCTGCCTGTCGTCAAATGGGATTGGGCCGAGAGATGACTGTATTCTCTTTCTTTTAATTTGTGCATGAGCTCCCTGGGGGTGCCTGAGCAAGTCCATAAGGATCTCTGAGGGTCTTCAGGCTCTTTCTGTATTTTGTGTGAGATACCTTCAGGTCTAAAATCCAAGCTCCCTTCATTGCCAAGTGACCTACCTTCTATTCTTTTGCACTTCCTTCAGCATCATTTATTCACATTATTTGAAAACACTTTAAGCTAGTAAGTACAGCAGTAATCCCTTTCCTATAAGGGTGCATTATTTGTGGGGATAGTATCCATTTTACTCTTCAAAATACCACTCTAAACAACAGGAGGGCTATGATGTGTTGGCATCCCTTCATTTTTGAAACAAAGAAGTCGTTCCCATCACCAAGTATCTCCTGTGTTTATGGGCCAATTATGTTCTCAGCAGTACGTGGCCTTGATGCCTCATTACCTCCATCATGTTCCAGGGCAAGATTATGATTTTTTTTCCCTTTTCTTCTTTCTCTAGATTCACTAGTGATAACAGCAGGAAAGGGCTCGTTCGCAACTGTTCGATGTTTTCTTTTCTGCCCCTTTTAATAAAGAGCCTACGAGGTTAGATCACTGTGAAAGAAAAGATTTCTGTAGGAGTGATAAATGGCCACATGCTGCTTGTTCCCATCATCTTCGTCCATTAGACTCTCTACCATGAGAAGTATTTTTAGCAGTCTGAGAAGGAATTTCCCATGACCAAGGAGCTCCCAAGGATAGTCTACATTTTGTTCATCTTAAATGCCTGTTACTGTTTGTCCTTGGGCGTCCCTGCTGGCTCAGTGATAGAGAACCCATCTGCCAATGCAGGAGATGCGGGTTCGATCCCTGGGTTGGGAAAATTCCCTGAAGAAGGAAATGTCAACCCACGCCCGTATTCTTGCCTGGGAACTCCCATGGACAGAGGAGCCTGGCAGGCAGCAGTCCATGGGGTCACAGAGAGTCAGATACAGCTTAGCAACTAAACAACATCTCCTTGTCCTTAGTTCTCCTACACATATTAGTACTTGAAGATATAAACTCTTCTATGAACTGAGATGCACTTCAGTGTAAGAAGAGGAGGCATTTTTAAAGAATGTTTATCAACTTGATTTTTGAAAACAACTGAATAATAAATGTTCTGCCTTTTTCCAGGAAATCAAATGTTATTCTAATCTTACTTTGTTTCCAAACAAATTGCTGTTAGCTAGTAACTAAAAATTATTGTCACTGTTTTTAAATGCAAACATTATTATTATTTTAAATAAATTTAATGGTATATCTTTATGTAGTATGAAATAAAGATATTAATAAAGAAGTACTTGAAACATAATATAATCTTCCAGATTGAAAGAAAATGGCAAAGTGGCATAATTTTAAAACTCTCAGTCAGATTAATTATGAGCTTCACATGGCAGCTTTATTTTAGCTGGTAATAGAAATATTACTAATGATCTTCATATCCCATGAAGCAAACTGTTTTAAAGAAGATTTCCATTACTGATGAGCTATTATTACAATATTCACTATTCTTTTAGTTTAAGTACTTTTTTATCCTATCACAACATCATCAATTCTTTCATTGGCTCTCTGTGGAACCAGGGCAAATGCTGAAAACAACCAGAAACTTGATAATTTTGAATCCAAAGAGGCATATGATTAAACACAATAAAGAGAGCTAACCAATCACCTAAAATTGTGTGCTGTGAGTTCCATTAAATGAGAGCACTCTATAAAACATTAGAGACAGTACCGAGAGAACAAAAAGCAGCCTGAAAGAAAAAGATGCTACTAAAGTCTTGAATCATAGTAATCCTCAAGAATTCTTCCCTCCCATAAAGGGCAGCTCTCTTCATCGACTGCACTTGGGTAGAACATTTTGCATGAGGCCCTGGTGGTAGCAGCAGTAACAACAGTGAAAGAGAATTAAGGGTCCTTTTGATTCTGGCAACTTCTTTCAGTCATTTTTAACATTCCCCTAATACAGAGCTGTATCCTCCATCTGCTGCAGTCTAGACTACTAAGCAAGTTGCCAGTTTGGATTGTAATATATAATGTTGCCTAATCATTTACACTTATCTTGCCAATGTCAGCTTCTTTTTGTTTCATCTTTCCTTTCCCCTAATCCTTCCTCCAGAATTTTTGGGTGACAAAGTAGTATCTCTTTTACTAAGAAGAAAGAATATCTCTCCCTCTGTCTCTTTTTAATTATAGAAATGTGGACAGCTTTCATACTGTCCAAGACCATCAGGAAGTTAAATTAAATTGTATGTGCTGACCTAAATCTATCATCCATCCTCTTATTTGGGATGATATTCAACATTTTAATAAATTCATCTGAGTTAAAATTTCTTCTGAGTCAGCTACTTAGTGGGTAGAGAGCCATTCCGTGCCAGGTTCCATCTGTTGGCCTGGCTTGGGTACCTCCCAAATTTGTGACAGTATTTTTGGCATCCTTTCCTTGGCTTATTCTTTAAATGGTTGATCCCTCAGAGCTCAGATCAAATCAAAGTCTTAGGTAAGATAAATCTTTCTAACATTTTTGGCCCAAAATATAGTATTCCCTCACCTCTTCTGGAATCAATCCAGTATGCGTGAGACCTCTCTAATAATCTACCTCCGGGGCTTTCCCCTGGCAGTGCATTGCATCTCACACCCTGGCAAGGAAAACAGCAGGCTGGTACTCCTGTTTATAATCTTATGAGAGCCTCCTCCACATGTGAGAGGCATTAATACCTATGGGATGGTGAGCCTTACTCAGAGAAGTTAGGAACAAAATGCCTTTTGTTTGGTTCCCTTAAGAAAAAAGTCATAAGTTTTAGAGAGTCTTAGAAAACCAAAACGCTGTCTTTCACCTTAACTGTCTCACTGATTTAATACTGACAAAACTCAAATCCTAGCAATGAGGGGAGGGATATAATTTCAGCAAAATGTGTATTTTAAATAATAAAACCATTTTTTTAAAATGATAAACATTCACAGGGAACATTAGAATCCAGAGAAAATGACATCAAATTTGTTAGAGCTTTAAAAAAAATTGTGCTTTGATTTTGGCTATACACATACTCGGACAGTATGTCTGTGAAGGAATCCTTTTTTTTGCCCAATTTACTGAACTGACACTGAAACCAATAGTTTAGTGCTCCTCAGCATTCAGACAGAAAGGGCTTATAAATTTTACTTTTTTTTAACTGTGCCTTCATATTATTTTGTTTTGATTTACTGCTTAGAACGGTTTTAATATGTATTGACTGTCTGCAGAGATCCTTGCTGACCCAGCTCTTTAAGATGATGCAGTGCTGAAGAAAGCCGATGAGTCCTTCTTTATGAGCTCTGACATATTAATTAGCAAAATGGACTAAAAAGCTTTCCTATTTCTATTTTAATTTCTTATAGTCTCAAACACCTGTCTATACAGCTGTAAAACAGGCAAGTCTGTAAAAGTAATGGTTGGCAGCAAGTGCAGACCTTTTCTGAGCTGAGTTTATCAATTAATGAGCAAGTATTCATTAACAATCTAGGGGGAATATTTCCAGATGGGATGCCTTGCAACCACTAAGGACAGTTGGTACACACACTGCTGTTGAAGAAGCTGAAGCTCAAGATATAAGTCCTTGTCCTTCCAGTTGGTAACTCTTGGGGTTAAGATATAAATCCAGATATGGTGTGGTAGATGCCATGCATTGACCATTTTATTTTCCACCAGCATATGCCTAATACCTCACCATCTCAGGAACTGAAAATACAGGAGTAAGACACAGTCTAGTTGGAAGGCATGACATACACGTCAAGATACCTATAAATCCTTACTTTACCTTTTGTAATGTCAACTAGCTGAAGTAGGAACACAACAGGTATAACTTCTCTATGACAATTCCTTGAGCAGAATGTCTAATCTTGATAATCTGTACGTTCTCTTTTCTGCATGCATATGTACATGTGAATGTGTGGGCCAAGTGAAGAGATGTGTGAGAGAAAACATGCATGTGATGTACATGCATTTTGCATAATTTATAGCAAATGTGTATGTGATATATCTTATAGCAAAGGCTGAGAGCTTAATGTGCAAGTTGCTAACTTGATAGATCATACATTCTGCTTTAAATGCATTATGTGTAAACTTCAAATCTAGAATGTTCGAATATAGCTAAAGAAATTGCTGGATCTTTGCAAAAGAACAGATAAAACATAAGATGACTGGATAGTCACTTTAATATAAGAGTAGTGGGCTATTAAATGGCATTCCATAAATTATGTTGAGTCTTAGTATTTCATATTTTTATTGAATATCTAAGTTAAAATATGCATTTAAATTTTGGAACACCAACCGTGGTCATTTTTCATGTTTCAGTCTTCTAATTGAATTACTGTTTTTTATTACTTTTCATTGCTATTGTTGATGAGGAAATAAAATCTTGGAGTAAGCGGGCAGTAGACTTGAACTATCTTTCTTTCCTCATCAGTTGGTTAAGGTAATATTGCATGGTTATTTGGAGTATTTATTTCTAAGCTTTTGTCACGTGTTATATTGGATAACTATAGCTTTAGACA